CCAGATATTCCAAGCCCCCACCATTGATGTTACAAATCCAATGACAATGTATAAACTCTGGGTCTTTCTTGGGGTAAGTATTTATGGACTTCCACCAACGGCACCCAACAAATACGACATCTATTGACCTCCACTAACGGGCTCCACATATGCCGACACACTTTATGAACTCAATAGCAACAAAGTGTGTATCCAAATCACCGGGTCTTGTACCCGAGGTATAATCTAGCCCTTTTTATTAACCCTGACCCTATTTTCAATGCAGCCTATGCAACTTAGTCGAATATTGGCCCAACTTTCCCAAGCTCATGCATTAACCCACCATGGATGGTGTTTGATCAAACTATGCACACACCCACACTCATGTCACGTGCCCACGAATGTGATACTTTTTCATGCATATGCAATGTAATATATACTTGCATTTCATACCATTATGCAACCATGATTTCAATTGCAATTACAATATCATGTTCAACAAGTCATAAGCACTATATGAACAACTTCAAATCCTCAATGTAACTAATATCATCAAACATATAATTACATTCTAGCATCATCGAAAAGCAAGTTATATCAATGTCATTCAAATAACATGCTTATCAATCATATGCATTTTATCAAAAATCTTTAAAGCACATGATCATGTAACAAATAATCATGCCCAATTTATCACATTTTCATGAAATCACCCAATAAGCAATTTCAATAATACACAATTCATGCAAAATTGGTTTAATACCTTCTTACACCATTTCCTATACTCTAGTTACACTACAAATATATTTAGACAAGAGATTTCATCTCAAATCATGGTACCCATTTCATACGAAACCCCATGTTGTAAATAAATCTAGTTCAGAAAAGAACTCTAGCTCTTAAAGCGTAAAACGAATGGTAGAAACTCCAAGAAAATCCAACTCAAGTTTTAGAATTTGATTTCCAAAAAATCCCGTTCTTGAGACTTCATCAAAATCCATGCTTTTTGGTACATAGGCGTAGCTCTCGTCGAATAGATCAACTTTTGTTCTTGGGTCGAATCGATTCGACGAATGGTTGACCCTAGATCGTAAGAAGAAGATGGAAGAACTCTTGATTTTCTCTCTCTCTATCTATCTAAAAATCTGTTGGGTAATGGGGAGAAAATTTGATTTTTCTTCCCTATTTATACTCCTTGGATATTTGGCCCATAACGTACCACGCGTCCCGCATTTCCCTAATTTGATTTATCTCGAATCAATTAAATCTCATTTCGTATTATGTTTAAAATATTTTATTTGAACTAAATTTAAATTATTTTTTGTATTTCACAACTAAAACCCAATTGCATTTTATTTTAGCTGCGCGATGCCTGATCGCATCATAAAACATGAAAAACATGATTGTCTTGGAATTCAACAAAAATGACTGCGTAAGCAGATTTTGCGAGATGAATCCAACGGTGAGTTCTATTTCGTCATCTAAGTTCTAAAAAAATTTGGGTTTTCAACCCGTAACACATAACAACTAATTACTGTTTTATCCTTTTTCATAAAAATTTAAATTTTTTCGGGTTTTGCATTCATCCGGTATGCTGGATGTGGAACCAACATACTGGTTCATGGTGAAGCGGCATGCCGGATACTGAAGAGGCAAATAGTAGGCTGAAGTGGCAGGTCTACGAGCTCTTAGTACTTTGCCCTATAAAGTGAACCGGAAGCCTCTACATGATTCTGAAATGTCAGATGGAGAAGCGATATGGACTTCAAACACACCCAAGTGTTAATCCGGTATGTCAGATGGGGAACCGACATACCAATTTGTGTACGTTGAGCCTAGTAACGACTACTTTTTTGGTAGTTATTCAAAATGCTTTGACTTCTAAGTATAAATAGGGGTATTCAATGCTTTGGAGAGAAATTTTGCTACCTTGTATTCATGAATTAGAAGCCAAAGAGAGTTTAATCATTCTTGAGTGATTTATTTCATTGTAAAGAGATTTAAAGTGTTGAATTTCTTCTTCTTACTTCTATTCTTATTTTGAGATAGAATCTTTGTAAAGTAAGAGAGAAGATTGATTGTTGTCTTTTTGAGTGACATACTATAGTGAGGAATATCATATTGTACTTAAGGAAGAAAAGTGTAAGGGTTTTGATATCACCCATTGAAGAGTTCAAGTAAAAGAGAACCTCCAAAGGGTGACAGAAGAAAGGACGTAGTCCAAGAATTGGGGTCAAACCTCNATCACCCATTGAAGAGTTCAAGTAAAAGAGAAAAAACGAACCTCCAAAGGGTGACAGAAGAAAGGACGTAGTCCAAGAATTGGGGTCAAACCTCTATACACCCTTGTGTTTGCTCTCTTTTTATCTCTTTACTTTGATTTGTGGTTATTGTTTATTCACATACTATCACTCTCCTACTATCTAACCAACATATAACAATCCATATTTATCAATTTCACTATTTGTGAAATTGAGATTTTAAATTGGGCAATAATTAGAAAACCTAATTCACCCCCTCTCCTCTTAGGTTGCTTCTCGGGCCAACACACGATTCATTTAGGCCTCGAGCAATTTTCAAGACATCACACCTAAGACTTCGGTATACACACTTCTCCAAATGGATTTTGCTTGACACCAAGCAAGATCTTATTCTTCAATGTGTGAGGTTGAATGGAAGAATCAAGATGGTTGGCCTTTGGGCTTAGGGATCTAAGGTTGTTCTTGAAGAACTCTAGAGTTATTTTGGTCTATTCTAACTCATAGAAGCTTACCCTTTATTTTGATCAACTAGCTGAGAACGCCCAATCTTAGAACACCGTTATCCCTCCTGAGTGCACATCTGAGACTAAGCCTTCTATGGCCTCATCTGGTAGAGACAAGTATCACCTTAGTGAGGATGATGATCATAGTGCCAATATAGTTACCTTGGCTAAGAATGTTGAATCCATGGAATTGAGGAAAGTTAATGAAGTCAAATCCGTCCAACAAAAAGAAGTTTTGTGGAATTTGTGACATGTGTCCAACTATTTTAGATTTCAAAGAAATGTTTGCATGATCAAGCGAATGTCATGAACAATTTTAAAACGACTTTCACATTCCCACATTCTAAGACATTTAATCCGGGATAGAAAAATCATCCTAATTTCAATTGGAGGGACGATATAAATGCACTACCATTATCAACTCCTCAAGGACCTTCAAATTTTCTTCCTTATAATCCATCACCTAAGAAATCTCTTCAGGACTACTTGCAAACCTTCATGCAAAGTCAAGCAACCATTAATAACCAAACATCACATACTATTAACGATATTAGAAGCACTCTCACCAAATTGACCGCTTCATTGAACCACTAAGAAAAAGGTAAGTTTTCGGCTCAATCACAACCTTTAAGTAGTTGAGGATGTGTTAATCCCACTACAAAATTTAGATTTGAATTCAAGTAGTTGATTAAAACTAGGATTATTTACAATTTGCCCCTTCATGTTACAATCAAATCCATTCTGTTTCAATTTCAACAATTAGCCCTCTTAAAGTTTCAAACTACTAATCAACTATTAGCCCTCTTATAGTTTCAAATTACTAATCTAACTAACTAGATGGATGAAAAATGAAAATTTTCTAAAATACCCTTACAAAACTCAATCTTCAATTATTTTTTTCCTCCTACTCTTTGTACCTAACCAACTCTAAATCCATTTTTTGTGTCTATCCAACCAATGTTATCATTAACATAGTGCAAGCTACAACCAGCAAGCTTCAACACAATAGAAACCGACAACTTGCAACTCAACGCAACTGACAATAAAAAACTAGTAACCTAAAAGGGCCACCACAACAACATAATGTAGACAACCCAAAACCCACCGCAACCTAAAGTCATGGCTATAAAATCACCATGGTTGTTTCCACGACTCTCCTAAACTCCAATTCGTAAAACCTTAAAGTCAATCACTAGCCTCTAACTGAAACCCAATATTGGTAAGAAAGGAAAGGTTCGATTTTAAGGGAGAAATGATAACAGTGAAGGGTTGACGATGCATCAATTATGGAATCAAATTTGTGGTTGAATAGGAAAAATCAAAATTTTGAGAAGCAAAGGTAAATAAAATTGATCAAAAAAATCTCTCAATGGAGATGGGATAATGGTGGTGTATGTGAGTGCCAAGGCAGTGATGTTGCGATGGTGAGAGGTACATTTTTGTGGGGGTTGTTATGGATGGGGGGTATGGCATACACCGAAGGAAAGGTGGTATTTCTAGCTGAGCAAGAATATGGATTTTACTTAAGAGGGATGGGTTGGGGACTAGAAAGTCCGACGTCGGGAGAGTGGTTGGGGCAACAACCATTGCTGGTCTGAGAAAGGGGATGGGTCTCACTCGTTTGGGCGTGAGTTAGCTAGTGTTTAATAATTTGTTATATTTTTTTAACAATAAAGAGAAAAATGTTGTAAAAAAATTGATCCAAAAAAAAGAGAAAAGGGTATTATATTAGTTTTTCTGTCAATTTAGATGATAAAAAATGGAATGCATGAGTCAATTGGAACAACGTTCAAAGTTTGGAGAGTAATTTGTTGAAATTAAATCAGAGGGAACTGATTGCAACAAGATCTAAACTTGAATGGGGCAAATTATAATTAACCCCCAAAACTATCAAATACCTATTTGATTAATTCAACTTAAATTCACTTCAAAATATAACCTATCGAATCCGGAGTAGCGGGTAGGTGAGAGTGCGTGAGTTATTTCCTCGGGAGTTGTTGGCGTGGGGGTGGGACCCAGACAAGTCGATCAGAATCAAATAAAATGGTAGGCCCAGCGGAACTAGTGGAAGGTTGGTGTGTGGGTTGGTAAAGTCGGTACCGTGCTCCGGTTATATAATATTAGCTCCAGCGATAGATCTAGCATCCTGGCCTTCTTTCCTTTCCAATTCAAGGGCCATTTACACTAACTTTAGCTGTGCTTTGGTCGTGGTGGTGTGCGGTAGTGGTGGTGCACATTGCATTACATTGAGTGAGAAATGAAGGTGATAGAGAAGATCCGTGAGGCTGCGAAGGAGGACAAGGTGGTGTTCTCGTTCGAATTCTTCCCACCGAAGACCGAAGATGGTGTAGACAACCTATTCGACAGAATGGAGAGAATGGTGGTTCACGCCCCTGCGTTCTGCGACATCACTTGGGGCGCCGGTGGTTCCACCGCAGATCTGACACTGGAGATATCCAATCGTATGCAGAACATAGTGTGCGTGGAGACCATGATGCATCTCACCTGCACCAACATGCCCGTGGAGAAGATCGACAACGCCCTCAACACCATCAAGTCCAATGGGATTCAGAACGTCCTCGCACTCCGTGGCGACCCACCTCACGGCCAGGACAAGTTTGTGCAGGTCGAGGGTGGCTTTGCTTGTGCTCTTGATCTGGTAAGTTTTGTTCCCATATATATTCTTCATCCCTTTCTCTGCTTCTTGCATTACATAACTACGCTTAATAATTGGGTGGCTTCTGGTTGATTTATTTCCCCATCTGATCTGGATCTTATCGGATCTAAATTCATTATATCTCTGATTGCTGTTTTGGGTACTCTGTTGGAAACTACACTTGATCTTAGGTGTTATAGTCTTTTTTTTTTTTTTGGATAACGGGAAAATCTCATGCCCTGTCCTCGGCCCCTATAGGCGCACTTATGATGCCCAGCTTGTAACTCTCAGTAGAACAAAGGGCAAACCCAGGTGTATTAACCGGTTCCTCAACTCATACACCAACTCATACACCAGTTAAATTTGAACGTTTCGCCGAGACTCAAGACCCATACCAGAGACTTGGATATGATTCGTCCGTACAGCTGAGGTCTTGTCAAGCAGCCATGCTATAGCCCCCTGGGGACTTCGGACCCTTGACCTCCCACTGGGAAGCCAGAGGCTTTGGCCAACTGAGCTACCCCAGTTGGTTTAGGTGTTATAGTCTACTACTACATATCTTAATTTGGTATGTGTCAAATGTGTGTTATTGTAACAAGTAGTGGAATAGTGGTATTGTAATACTTTTACTTGTTTGAATTACACGGAAAAATGGAGTGTGTTAATGTATCGGTAGGATTTAGGAATTACGATTGGAAATGCCATATTTAGTTTAGTGTTAGTGGTAAGCGGATTTGGGTGGAGTCCAAAATCTAAGTTGAACTAGATTGTAATCAAAGTAAATGAAGATCTTGAATTTGAGTGTTCAATTTCCTCCTATGCTTTATTTTTGCTTCCAGCGTTACATAATGTGATCTCATCCCTCTTGCCTACAACAAACTGATATCGAGACAAACCAATATTGGAAGAATTCCAACACTCTATTTAGTACTTCTAAGCTGATCCTTTGTTATGTTAATTATGTTTGTGTCTACAGGTGAAGCATATCCGCTCCGAATATGGGGACTACTTTGGTGTAACGGTTGCTGGTTATCCAGGTGTGGTTGCGAGCTCATTTGCTTTGTTTTTATTCTTTTTCCTCTTCTCATTTGGTATTTACTGATAAATCGTTCTTCAGCATTTATGACAATAACTGTGGTTTTTAACCTTTCTCTACAGAGGCGCATCCTGATGTCATACAGAGTAATGGTTTGGCTACACCAGAGGCATACCGGAATGACCTTGCTTATCTCAAGAGAAAGGTTTTTATTGATTTTATTTCCCACAATTATGTCCATTCTTTCAATATTTTATTGGGTAATTACAGTCTTACTCCTTGATATTTTGAAATGGAAGGATACCCCCTTTAAGTTTTTGTCTGGTCTAAATATCTCAATTTTGTAGTTTTACCCTCATGCCTCATCCTTTTATAATATTATATTATCAATATTTCAACACTATTTTATTTATTTTACTAATTTATATAAAAATAAAGAACAAACAATAAATTCAAAGAAATTTTTTATTTTTGTACTCGTGGTCAAAATGTCAAGAAAAGTGGTTTTATTTCCTTTGACAGTAGACAGTTTATTTTTTTTAAGTTTTATTATAGTTTTGAATTATGGACTTAGTTGAAGAGATGGAGATAACAATCATTTTTATTTTCTTGTGTATGATAATCTTTAGTCTTTTATTCTATTTTAATTTTAAGTTTTTTAAAATGGGCCAAGAAAGTTGATTTGAGGATAAAATTGACATTAGGGGGAGAATCTTTCATGATATCATCACTTTTATCCTGACACATGATGGTAGGGGTGGTGACCGAAACTAGAGGGGATAACCGTGATATTCCCTTCCAAGCTTGCCGCCCATAACATCTCAAGCAGACCAAGATTAGTGTAATTCGTTTCACTTGCAGCTATGTATGAGAATGAGTATAATGTCAGCACTAGTTCTTCTATTATGAAACCATTTTGCCAAAAACTCACCCCCAACACCCAATTGATGTAATAATTTTTTAAAAAAAATTTGTTATGTGGAACATTGCAATAAAATGACACTAATTGTTTTTTTTTCAAACTTAGTTGCTTATAGTAAATATTTTCTATGGTGGATATTTATGAAAGTGGCCATGAATTGTTGAAGATTGGATGATGTCGCGAAAAGTTGTGACCATTATATACTTGAGAAATGTCATAGTTTCATATCCTTTCTACATGATCATGTAATCTGATCAATCATATCATGGGTCATTGCCTACTATGGTTGTAAAATGCGCAGCTCACAACCGCTAGGTTCTGCATTGGAAAATGAAGGCAACCTCTTTGTGCAGATGATGCCAAATGTAATGTACTTGAGCCACACCTTATGATAATAGGACCGAGATTGAAGAATATGACCTATACCGTAAAGTATAATTTCAAATAGCATTTTTTTTAGTCAATCACTTATAATGATGTTTTGCAGTTATATGTAATGACCAGAACATAGTTCTAATCTAAGAACTGTTTTGCTTCCAAAGGATTATGAGGAAATGACTAACATGCTAGTGTAAAAGCCGAACAAACATTTGCATATAACAAATATTGATGTTTCTTTCAGCCATTTATTATCAGAGCCTGCATAATTTAAATGTATATTTTTGTTTTTCTTTCCTCCTTGTCTTCTTTTTTCCCTTCAAATCAGTATGATTGTATTTGGTTTGTTTGTGTGGCGTATGAAGTACAAATAATGGCTCAACTAATGGTGTCTTTATTTTATAGGTTGATGCTGGAGCAGATCTTATTGTCACTCAACTTTTCTATGATACAGATATTTTCCTCAAATTTGTGAATGACTGTCGTGAACTTGGAATATCTTGTCCCATTGTTCCAGGCATTATGCCCATAAACAACTATAAGGGCTTCCTCCGCATGACTGGTTTTTGCAAAACAAAGGTATGTCATCTTCAGGCATTGACCAGTTAATAGAAAACATTCAGGACGATTATCATTCTCGTTGCATTCTTCTTGATATGTGGAATTTTACAATTTTTTACTAAAAGGGTTTATGAATGCTCTGTGGCCCATGTAGTTCTGTGATTGTATCACACCTTTATACTGAGAGTGCTTAATTCTATTTTTGATAGGAAATATAACTTTGTTAAGATTCTTGGTTTCCTTCTAATGCATAATAATCCTTGGTAGGAGAAAATTATGGTCAGAAACAGCTTGGAAACGCTGGGGATAAGTAAACAAAAAAAAAAAAAAAATGAATTGATCTATTGAGATCAACTTTCCAAAATACTTGCTGCATGCAGTAATTATGTTTTCATTTGAACAGTACCATCATCTGGTCAAATGAATTTGGTCAGTTTTGTAGATCCTCTTGTTTTCCATCTTCCCAAATAACCCACTGTATGAGAATCGTTTGCGAGTATTTGAACCCAAGGATCGAAATTTCGTTTCGAAGTACCGTTTCGGTCAGCTCAAAAATGAAAACGTTTCGGAAACGCAGAAAAAATATGGAAACGCATAGAAACACAATTACAATCCATTAATTTATAAAGATATGCTAAATAATTGATTAATTCAACATATTTATTGGGTTAACATCTATTTATACAAGAATAAATTTAAATTTGAGGGAAAAAAAGACTTGACATGAGGCGAAAGTCACTTAAATTAGTTTCAAACACTTAATTTTTATGAAATAAACACATTTTTACATAATATTAAGGTCTTATAATACATATGAAATGCTAATGAGTACATACTTACATGACTACATCCATCCCCCTGTAGAGTGTCGAGCAGGCTCATACATCGGTGTAGGCTCTGGGTAGCTACTTAGAGAAACTCCATATGTGACATAAATATGATGACAATAGTTACTCCAACTCATATTATTACGGTAATATTATCCAATTAATAATATTATTTTATTATAATACTAATAATGAAGGGTATCAAATTAAATTAATGGTACTTATGTATACTTAAAAATTAAATGTAATTGCAGTGGGTATTAAATGTAATTACAGTGGGTATTAAATATAATTACATTAGGGTATTAAATGTAATTGTTAATACTTATAACAAAAAAAAAAAAGCAAAAGACTTGTACAGCAGTGGGGTATTAAATATAATTACAGTAAGGTTTTAAGTGTAATTATTTATTCTTATAACACAAATTATAAAAGACAGAAGAGCAGTGAAAATTAAATGTAATTATAGTGGGGTTTTAAATATAATTATAGTGGGTATTAAAAGTAATTACAGTGGGTATTAAATGTAATTATTCATAATGAACCGAATATATCATTGTTTTGTCGAAACAATGCCGTTTCGACCAAAACGGTCCGAAACAATACCGTTTCAACCGAAACACTGGAATTTTGTGATTCAACTACTGTTTCGTTTCGGAGTGTTGAAATTCCGAAACGTTTCGGACGTTTCGGACGTGTCGACACGACATTTTGATCCTTGTTTGAACCTGTTCATGTCGCCAAGGGTTTTGGATCCCAACCTCCGAGAACCTGCTACTAGCGTTTCCAATGCGGTGACCAGTTAATTGCATCACTTTTGCCTCTTTTACCAACCACTTCTAGCACCTCTATCACAAGAATCTGATTATCATCAACTTGCCACCATCTGTGCCACCTTGTACCAACTTTAGCTTTTCAGATCACCTTCTCGTGATAATTTATGAAATGTTAATTTTGGGGAGCATATTGATATGTATTTGAGTATAAATATGAACAAAAAATTGAAGGATGAGACTGAAATTGTGAGGATTCATCTAGGAGACTGCTGTTTATGCTTTCCAAATATAAATTTTGTCATTGCTTGCATAGGCAGTTCACGAGTTGATTCCAACTGAAATTTAGGGTTCCCTGTTTTGGCCAAAGATTTCTTAAAAGTTAAATGCACCAACTTATAGAAACTGTATATATAAATTTGTCTTCAAGCTCCTTTTTTGACACCCCAAAATCTGGCAATTCATAATCATATGAATTTTTGATATCCTATACTCATATCTGGTTGTGCAACAACAGTTAGTTTTTTTTGGACTTTTCTTGGTTAGTTTGATACAATCAGTAAACACTGGGAGAAGCAAATTAGTAAAAATCTGATATTGAGTTGAACTTGAGCGCAAATATTTGGTTTCTTCCCAAAAAATGTGTAAAACTTTGTATTTATGATTATGCATTGGGATTGATAGTATGTGGCATATTGAAGATCGTTCAGGTCTAGCTGCTCTCTGCATCTTATGTAATTTGTATTTAATGACCTATTGTAGGTACCATCTGAGATTACCGCTGCCTTGGAACCCATCAAGGATAATGAAGAAGCTGTCAGAGCCTATGGAGTTCACCTTGGAACTGAAATGTGCAAGAAGATTTTGGCTAGTGGGATTAAGACATTGCATCTTTATACGTTAAACATGGAGAAATCAGCATTGGCAATATTAATGGTTGGTTCTCCTATCATAATTTAATCAAAAACTATGTGGTATAAAAAATCATTGGTTTTTTTGAATAGATGCCTATATTTGAAGTTGAAGCTTATGATAGACATGCATTTGCAGAATCTTGGACTAATCGAAGAGTCTAAAATTTCAAGGTCCTTGCCATGGAGACGGCCTACAAATGTTAATCGTGTTAAAGAAGATGTTCGACCAATATTCTGGTATGCATTGTAGCTGGAAGTTGAATATTACATTTCACTTTTTTGGCATTAGTGATGCACAACATTGTGTGAAATCTCTGGTAGAATCTCAAGATTGTGTGTTGGCCAACAATGGCAGGGCTAATCGTCCCAAAAGCTACATAGCAAGGACTATAGGTTGGGAGCAATACCCACATGGACGATGGGGTGATTCTCGTAATGCATCATATGGAACACTATCTGATTATCAGGTAAACATGAATTGTCATATCCAAGCCTTTAAAGTTGGCACTTCCTTAATGAGTATAATTAGCTTATGCTTAAGGGTGTGTTTGTTAACCCAAATTCAGCCTTTAAAATGAAAGTATTCGGCACTTATTAATTAAGTCCGTTTGATAACCCAAATTTAAAATCTCTTAATATATTAAGTGCTCGTTAAAAATAGACTAAAATATTAAATAGGATATCTCTTAATTCTGAAAGCTGAAAACGCTCAAGGGGAATGTCATTTATAATTTTACAATTTTACCCTAAAATGTTTTACAATACTAATAAAAATCTAATGATTTTTTCTTCAAAACCCTCCAATCTCCCTAATTTCCACTATCTGTCAAACAGGTTAAACAAGTATGTTTTTCTTCTGCTCACGCACTTACACACATAATCAGACGCACACACACACACTGGTAATATAAACACAAAAATAGATCACACAAACACACATATAATGCATCACACACACGTTGCACACACACAGATCAAAACACAAACACACACACACAGAGCAAACACACACAAAGAAGACCCACACACAAAAATTAATTGATCAATTTTTTAATGTGGGCAAATTTTTGAATTAGATTTACGATCCTGTTCAAATTAAAAAAATGAAGTCCCCCAAAGAATCCTATTAAAATTTTATCAAAGTTTTCAAATTAGATTCCTTCGAGTAAAAAAAGATCAAAATTCATTTAGACTCCAAACATTAGCAAACCCATTCATAAGCAACCGAAATATTTTTTTTTGTTTATAATCCCAGCTGATATGTGGAAAGACTACAATATCGAAAAAAAATACCATATTGAGAGTTACAATTAAATAGTTATTTATTATAATTTATTTGGTGTGAAGTTATGACTTAAAAATGTCGGTTAGAATTCATGACAATTGACAACTTTTAAGTGATCAATTTAACTTGAGTTAATATTATTATCATGTTTCTTAAATGTAGACTACAATGTAATAATAGTGATTTTAATTTATGAATTACCTGATATATCATATTTTTTTGTTAGATAAATGCATGTTTCATAAATAATTTCAAACTAAAGAGTGGAGGGGTAAAACTATAAACTAATTTATTTTCAAACATTAGCTCGATATACTTATCAAACGATCTGATTCAATTCAGTACTCAGCTTTCGGTTTTATCAAAGAGCACCTAAGTGTGTTTAATATATCTCTAGCACTATTTTATCTACTTTGTTGTCTCGTCTCATTGGCATGCTGAGTAGGCTTCCATGTTCTGTTTTGTAATTTGTATCTCATCATCTTTTGCTTGCTTTTAGTATTGTTGGAGATCCTCATTTTTTGCTTGCTTCAAGTTTTTTATGAAGGTTTTACCATCTATTAAGTTAGGAAGAATTCCTTTTTGCGGAATCCAAAACTACTCTATCTGATAGAGTTTGCTTGTCAAATATACTTTAGTTGATGCTTGACAGTTAGTGGACGTCATTCACAAAAAGCATGTATGTATATGTCTGTTAAAGAGGAGAATGAAAGAATGGAAAAGAAATTAAGTAATGGAAGGTATATCCAAGATTTGGCGAAAAAGAAGAAAAGCAGAAAACTAGACAAAAAGCTATTAAAGCAATCCAAAATCTACACAATTCAACTCAACAAAAAATTCCCTAACTATTTAGAGTTGCTTAGATGAGTCATGGTATGTCATCATGGGACCACAACAATCCATAATCTTCCTACAAATTAACAAATGTGTCATAAGAATAGGACTCCATGGGAGCCAAAATTGAATGAAGCTCAAGAACATTCTCTTTATCTTTAAAACGTAGCCTTCACCAAGTCATAGCCCAAAACCTCATCTCCTTGTGATATGAAGCATGAGTGGCCATGGAGGTCTAGAGTGGAGCCAAATGTGTTGTCACATGTTTTTATGTTTAATGATTTACTTAGTGGAAGCATATGTGATTACATCTTATTTACCTTTAAGAATGGTATAATAATGTGTGAATATCCTGTATAGTCACATTTGACTAGAGCAACACCTACCCATATCTCATAAACAACCAGCACAGTTGTTACAATTCATTATGTGCCAGGATCATTTATACGATATGTGGCCTTCTAGATACACAAAAGTAAGTTTCCAAAAGTTACGTTCACAACTTCTATGCTTAACCACCGAAACGTTGTCTTATAATACATGAAACCACCTCCTATAGTTGCCTTGTAATAGTTTTCAAGAAAAAAATGAACGTTTCCACGGATATCAAAATTCCTATCAAATATGCTTTTCACAATAAGTTTATGAATGTAATGTCAAATCACATATTATGTCACCTTGCCGTTCTCAATTTGAGTCTCCTGGCTTTGAGTCCACCGGTTTGGATCTATACTGGATTTGATTCTCCCAGCTGGAGCCTATTTTGATTTTGACATAAAATTTAGTCCAAGTCCTTTGATAATCCATGGGCATTAAAATGTAGTAGTCAACACATAAACTCTCAAATTTGCATGTAGTAGCATTTAAATAAGACAAATATAAAAATCACATTCTAAGTACCTTATCTTTTAACTGCACTTCATAACTCTTGGTTCCCTCTAACATGCCTACACTATTTGGTACACATTACTTTACATAACACATTGTAGCACTTCTTACATACTCTCATTTCATAAGTACTTAATGTTATTGTTGATCCCTAATGATCATTATTACGTACTTGTTGCAATTGCTCATTCTTTGCTCTTCAAGTAATAGGAAAACAACAATTTCAGTCCTTTTAAATCTCTTTGGCCTGTACCTCCATTGTTTCAATCTTCAACTGAAGCATTCATTTCATAATCCGTCAGATTAGCCTGTTATAGATAAAAAGCTTCATAACCAAAGTTGTACAAACTTAAACTTCACAAGACCATTGGCAAATAGAAGTAGACTTAAAGAACTTTATATTTGTTCAAAACAATTTATCAAACTAAATCTTAGTGGTAGATATTCAAGTTTCAGCATATTAGGGTCTACTTTAGAAATTCACCAAAATTGGTGTGTTTTCATCCTTTTTGCACCAAGCCAATGCCATAAGAACTTTTTACTACTCTACTCCAAACCAGGAAAGTTTAAGAATCATAAACCAAGTGTAACTCAGAAATTATCCCAAACCACTTGCTCTATAGAATTTCCAGGATCTTCGGAAGTGTTTAAACTTCATCATTAGCAACTTACTAGTTTGCATGTGTGATATTGAAGTTCATATCATATGAAATGCCTCTAGAGTTTGTAAAATTAGAGTAACACATAATTTCTTCTTCAATTCTCGTCTCTTGATTGTAAGAAATTTGTTTCTTTTTGATTAAATTGAAGAATACACACTTAAGATCAAGAATTGTGTCGTTGAGATTTATTCCAAGCCCTAAGTCACTTAGATTTTTTTCTCATTTCCTTTCTTTTTCTCTTTTTTTCTTTACTCTTCTCTCATTCTCTACACAAGCACTGCCTTTCTATTTCTTTTAATTACAATATATACATATATAGGTGGGACACTTGTCTTTCTTAGAGTTTCTTTCTCTTAGAAGCGTCTTTAGTTTACCCAATTTTCTCTAGCACTTTCTCCCTCTTGTTGATGATTTATTCTTGGGGTACTAGGTTAATCTTTTTTTGTGGTTTCTATTAGCTTCAACTGTTTCCTTTCATTTTTGGAGGTGACGAAGACTGACAAGTGTACGAATGAAATACACAAGCACACACCTCTTAGAGAAGTCAACAATTTTGGCTTTGGCTAATCTCTTGACTAGACAATGTCCAACTTGATTAACTTAAGCCATCTAATTAGGATTCTTAATCAAGTAGTAACTTCGATTGAATTGCCCTTTATTAAGTCTTGATCTTTCATTAATCATACTTGGTTAACTTATTTTTTGGTATATATTTCCTTATCAAAGTTAACGAATAAGAGTATATAAGAAAAAAGTGTAAAGCACAAAGGACTATCAAAATATCATAATATGCACATTGATAAAATATATTGTTATTAAGGGTTATCACACACATTCAAACAAGCATCTTTATATTATTTTCAATTATACCCTAAAGGCACAACGGTTATGTGATTGATCACAACTCTTTTACCTTCCACAGTACACAATTACCCCTTAGCCTTCCAAAGTCTTGATTATTGATCTATAGAAGAAATTAGCATTCCTTACAACAAATTAGTGCAATAATAAATGATTTGTTATCCATTCAGGCAAACTTTGACTTCTAAGCACTAGAAGCTTAATTTTTTATGGTGTTTATTGTCCATTCAAAGAAATCCACCTTGCAACGTTTTTAAGCCTTGCAGAACAATTCTCCGCTAAATCTATAAAAAAAGTGGTGCCCTACAACCTTTTTTGGAGGCCTTCAATCTTGTAAAGCTCCCCCT